CTGTAACATGTTGTCAGATTAGAAAAAACAACAGCTGAGTGATTAAACCGTCCGCCTTGCATCAGTAAATCTGATTATGTAACACATGAACAAAAGATCTGAGCACTCATGATGACGTCCCCGCTCTGATACTGAAGCTATGTCACAGGAATAAAAAGTATCCCATCTGTGTGACAGCATGGAGCCAGATTTGTCTCTGCTGTGTCTTTCAAAATCTGAAGAAAAGTTTCGGCTTCATCACATTCTGTCTCTAAAGTCCCTCCTGAAGAGGTCGCCGTCGAGCAGGCTTTGAAAACGATTGACGAGAAAACCCGGGAGGAAAAGTTGAACCCAGCTATTGTGTGTTTTTTTAACTTTGAGTTAATTGTCCCTCATGTCACACTCGACCACGAGGTGTTCTTGTATTTTAAACCATAAATGAATCTGCTCACCTTTCTCTCCAACGAACGGCAGAGACCAGGTGAACACGTCCATGAAGTTGGGCAGCCAGTAAGGATGAGGGGAGCAGTTAAACTGCCGGATGTTCATCACATTATTCTCATATTTCAGCACCGCAGCTGAAAACACACAAACACACACATTAACATTTTCTACTTCATCAGGCACTTCCTGTCTCCTGTTGCCAGGGCTTCAAGGTTTCTCTCTGTTGCCATGGTTACCTCTCCCTCTTTCTCTCTCCTCTTCTTTACCTTTGTTGTTGTACACATCCAGGTAGTTAGGAGCAGAGAAGATTGTGATTAAAGAAGGAAGCCTGTCGTCTGACTCTTCCTGTACATTCGATACCTGACGGACACAAAAAAAAAAAAGATTTGACCGACGTCTTGAAGATAAAGTCATAAAGAAAAAGGTCAAGGAGGTAATTTAAGATTAGGACCAGTGTTTAGCTCCAAAGACCCGTAAATACTTTGTACCCTCATTAAATATCTTCCTCACAGTTTAAATTACGTTTCCGAGCAGCTCTTTTTATATTTGTGATCCTGGAGGACAAAGATCTTCTCTTACAGATGGTTAACAACAACCCTTTACTCTGTGTCCTTTTTGTTACTCCCTAACCAAACTACAACGGTGTAAATACATGTTCTTGTGCTTTCTTGTTTGTTTTTATGCAAACATATAAATAGGATTTCATCATGTACTATGTAGTATGAGCTTCACTCACCCTGCATCCTGGGCTTCGTGTGCTCGTATTACAGACAACAGGTTATTGTTCATCAGGAAGTCACATACTGCCGGTAACTGTAGAGACAGAAAACAAGAAATCAGAATATTATTCAAACATCAGGACAGGATGAAGGAGCCGTTTGGTCTTTACAGTTGAAGATGCCAGTTTGGCAAAGCGCTCAGCGTTTCAGCCAGAGATTGTTTCATGTCGTTCCAAACGTTGGTCCATGATGGAGCCTCTGATCCTCCCACAGCTCGGCTGTCTGCAGTCACCTTGGTTGCCATGACAGTAAGAGAAGGAGCTCCATTATAACAAGAGATGCTTTAAAGTGCTAAAATTAGAGATCAATTAAGGTCAGGGCCCGTACGGAGGAGGAGGTGCGGGAGGAGGAGGAGGTGTGGGAGTTTGTCTCTGATCTTTACAGAACTGACTTTAGAAATTATTCACTAAAAGCCTCTTTACAGGCGATTAATACCAAACACTGTAGTCGCCGTTCGGTCACTTTATAAGCACCTTTTCATCTCCTGACATTTTAACAACACAAAGGGAACAAACACACCTGACTCGAACCTCTGGAAAGTCTGACCTCAAGAGCTCAAACACTTTCACCAGCGTGTTAGTCATAAATGAAGGAAGAAAACATCATGACAGAGCTTTTCATTTTGTTATTGTCTGAACGCCTGTCGGGTGGACGTGATGAAATGTGTTTCATAACTTCATGAATCGGTTGGATATTATTTACACTTTTTTGCAGCACTGACTCGTGAAACTTTCAAACATGATGCGTTATATTTAAAGAACCTTTCCGTCACATCATGCATGACTGAGAGAGACTTCAACAAAAGGCGACCTGCTCGAGCGTTCAGGTTGTGTTGAACCGTGCTGGGTGGGACCGATTCAGCAGAATAACACTAATCCTCAGAGCAGGATCTATTCGAGACATTTACAGAAACTGTGATGCTGTGTCATTTCTCAGCGAGTCATTTAAACGTCCGGCTGCTAAAACAAACTCCTGCAGGATGAAAGAGGCTTTAGAGCGGCAGCTGCTCCCCTCCCCGTGACCTCCATGTGGTGTCAACATGGCAGATTCAGCACAAATATTAAGACAGGCCAGAGAATGCTAATATTTATTTTCAGTATCAGTCTGACAGCGGATTGAACCAGCGGTCACTTATCCAGAGATAAGCCATTGTTTGTAAAAGCTTAATCAGCTCAGATTAGCGCAGAGCTGCTTTTTGTCTTTTTTTTTTTTAATGAGAAACGAGCAGCAGAGGAAACATCCTGCAAAGTCCTACCTGTAGAAACAAGTCGTGCAGAGAGACCTACCTGTAGAAACAAGTCCTGCAGAGAGACCTACCTGTAGAAACAAGTCCTGCAGAGAGACCTACCTGTAGAAACAAGTCGTGCAGAGAGACCTACCGTAAAAACAAGTCCTGCAGAGAGACCTACCTGTAAAAACAAGTCCTGCAGAGAGACCTACCTGTAAAAATAAGTCCTGCAGAGTCCTACCTGTAAAAACAAGTCTTGCAAAGAGACCTACCTGTAAAACAAGTCCTGCAGAGAGTCCTACCAGTAGAAACAAGTCTTGCAAGAGACCTACCTGTAAAAGCAAGTCCTGCAGAGTCCTACCTGTAGAAACAAGTCCTGCAGAGAGTCCTACCTCTAGAAACAAGTCCTGCAGAATCCTACCTGTAGAAACAAGTCCTGCAGAGAGTCCTACCTGTAGGAACAAGTCCTGCAGAATCCTACCTCTAGAAACAAGTCCTGCAGAGAGTCCTACCGTAGAAACAAGTCCTGCAGAATCCTACCTCTAGAAACAAGTCCTGCAGAATCCTACCTCTAGAAACAAGTCCTGCAGAGAATCCTACCTGTAGGAACAAGTCCTGCAGAGACCTAGCTGTAGGAACAAGTCCTGCAGAGTCCTACATGTAGATTTAAGTTATTCAAAGAATCCTACCTGTAGAAATAAGAGCAGCCTCTCACACTGTTGTGGCTGAAGTGTTCCTGGGTCTTCTCTGAACCGTAGTCCTCGCCCGGGTCAGACCACAGCAGGTCACACATCGGTCCGAACGCAGGAGGCTCTTTAAACCGGTCCAACTGTGCACACACAAACAGTTATAATTAATAAGACACTACATACAACACAAATCTGAAGTCCAGGGACTGTGATTGTCGCCCCCTTCTTGTTACCTTCCGAATGTCGTCCAGACAGGTGACCTCAGGGCTCAGTCCTCCGTGCACACAGAGGAACTGCTGGTTGAGGAGAGCAGCCAGAGGGAGGCAGTCAAACGCATCCATACAGGCGTCATAAACACGCTCAGAGTACTTTATTTTACCTGCACAGAACAAACACACACAGGTCAGTAAAGAGAGACACAGTTTGTCTCTGACACAGACACAAACCCAGAAGCAGGACTTACACTCCTGTTTGAAGGTGAAGTACTCTGTGAGATGCCGGCACTCGTGGTTGCCTCTGAGCAGGAAGAGAGTGTTCGGGTGGTTGATCTTCAGAGCCCACAGGAACAGTACACACTGCAAACAGATACACACACATACACATGAGGATGGGTTAGACCTATATTCAATCTTAACATCAACCTCAGATTGAATTTTGTCAACTCACATCCTGTTCGACAAGCCCTTTTTACACATTAAACATTTCTAGAGGATTTCAGGAGGACTGCCTCTAAAATCCTCCTGACCTGGTTGTTCACACATGCACCTCAAGGCAGGAGATTATCCCTGTCAGACGGGGGGGGGGGGTCGTCTCCTGAGGTAAGACGAGACGTAAAAAGACTGATGTGGAAGTAGCAGAGTCCTCTATACGACGTTATAATGTGAATATTTGTCCTATCGGTGCTACGTGTAGTTGAACAGAATCTCAATGTGAACTAAAGAGTGGAGGAGAACATACTGGAGAACAGGAAACATAATGCAGCAGCAGGTTCATTAGAGCACGGAGATGGTAAAGGTGGCGTGCAGACAGTCTATGGTCGTGCAGCGATCACAGGGAATAAACGTCACCACCCCCTCCCACTCGCTCCATGTGAATTCTCCTGATTATATCCTGCTGCGTTCTCACATCAGCTCACACTGACTTTCTGCAGAATAAATACGAGGAGGCTGGAGGAGAAACTCCCGTTCACACATGATTACTCGAGTTTTGTGCGAGTGTGAACAAGGCGTTACAGTCTCCTGAATCCTCCGATGAGGACTACCTGCTTTGCCATACAGGAAAGAGACAAGGTGATAAAATGTTGTCCACATCATTAGATGTGCATCTGAACATGTTGGTCCATGAATTGCAAAAGGCTGCTTAAGTCCTGCAGGTGACTGTAGAAAAAACATCTGGAGCACAGAAGACTGCATTGAGACTTTGAGCATCTGAGTATCTAACTCTGAGTCTTTGTGATAATAAACTCTGAGATGTGCATTTGTGATCGTTAAAAGAGCTCCTGCACGACTTCCAAACAAACCCACTCGCTCAGCTGTCAGTCATCCTTCTCTATGTTTTTTTTTTTAATGCAGAATCGAACCACCTGTTAAACATTTCAGCTTTTTATTTTTACGGAGGCGTCCAACAGGAGCTGGATCTGACCAGCTGTTCACCCAGAACCCAACAGGCCGGAGCACAGAGGAGGAGGAACAAGGACAAGGATGGATTCACTCTGCAGCGCCGTCACATCACAGAGCTACTCTGCAGTATCATTTAACACAACATGCAAACTCATCACCTTCATATGAAAATCTCGAGAGAAGTAGAAATATGATCGTACAGGAGGAGCTTTCAGAGGCACGATGTTGAAGAGGTATAATGCATCTACTTGTTGAATTAACCACAAACTGGGGCGCTGGTGGCGCAAAGGTTAGTGTGTGCGCCCCATGTATGGAGGCTGTCGTCTCAAGCGGGCGGCCCAGGTTCGCTTCCCGCCTGTGGCTTCTTTCCCGCATGTCATTCCCCACTCTCTCTCTCTGATTTCCAACTCTATCCACTGTCCTCTCTATCCATTAAAGGCCCAAAAAGCCCAAAAATTAATCTTTAAAAAAAAAAAGAATTAACCACAAACTACAGCTCGCTTTATTTGGCTGCATGGTGTGGTTAGAGCAGGTGGGTCGTAAAATCCTGCAGTGGTTTTAATGATAAAACACAGAATAGACGTCCCCCTAGGCTACATCCACACTACGATATGATCAGATTCTGCCCTTTAAATAAAATACAGTACAGACTTCTCCTAAAGTGAAGCTGATCCATCGTCCCTTCTGGGCCTCCGTACATGTGTGGTGGTGTCTGTGTCTGCAGAGACTCTGACTGGATTTTACTGTTCTGCTTTGTTCTGGTTGACTCGGGACAACTGACTGGGCGGAGCTGGTGTGTTTCCTCCAGCCAATTACAGCGCAGCATGCGAGTTTAGGAGTGGATACAATTCAGTGATTGGACGAGATTCAAACCGTTGAATATGACGGACAAGGACGTAGCAGCAAAAAAGAGAAAATATAATCACAGTGAGGAGAAACACCAAGCAGATAAAGCTTGTTCTAAATCGAGGGTGAACCTTGTGTTGTCTTTTACCCGTGGACGTGGAGTTGGTCTACTTCCTGTTGGACAGGAAGGTGACAAACACCGGCGGTTAGCTTGTGCTAGCGTGCGTTAGCTTGCAGTGTAGCTACAAGCAGTAAACGTACACACTACGTCCTGCAGGGGGCGATGAGCCCAGGAGGAGGGGCCCAGTTTGGATGTTTACAAACATTTCTACGGACTCCTCCTTTACAGTATTGAGGATTTGACATTTTAAACTTTCTTTCAAAGAACAAAGAAAAGTCATTTTAAATATACAACAAATTTGTCTTGGTGTTACTGGTGCAAAAACAAGGAAAGTAAAAATAATTTTTAAAAAAGGAAGTCAGTCAACAGCAGTACTCCTACTGTTTGGAAACTTAACAGAACTCTATAGAAAGATATAAATGTGTCTGATGAACTTCAGAGACGACGTACAGCACAGAGAGATAATAATCCAAATTAAATGTTTTATTTTGAAGCAAAGAGTTGGACGTGTTGATTTAATTTGTTGCTACAATAATGGAGCCGCAGTGCTCTCCGGTTTCTAACGAACACTGGCTCCTGTTCTCGTCTCTGTTGGTTTTAAGAAATCTATGCAGACAGCTTTGATTGGAACATTTCTGTGTACAGGGCCATGCTGGGTAAACTGCCTTCATACTTAAATAATCTCATGATACAGACCTCCAGCAGTTTCTTTATTCAGTTAAAGAGTCCACACAAGCAAGAAACCGACTCATTAAGCTGGATTCAGTCTGCAGCTCTCGTATTTGATGTCTGTGTTTTTCACTGTAACTGGTGTGTCGTCTCCCCCGCAGAAATCCCAGGGAATTTATTGGTCTGATAACAGTTATATGAAGATTTTAATCAAACTTTCAGAGAACTTTTCTTTAGTTTTACCCGAGGCCACAATCTACACATCTGTCAGACCACCACAGCTGCTACAATCTACACATCTGTCAGATCACCACAGCTGCTACAATCTACACATCTGTCAGATCACCACAGCTGCTACAATCTACACATCTGTCAGATCACCACAGCTGCTACAATCTACACATCTGTCAGATCACCACAGCTGCTACAATCTACACATCTGTCAGATCACCACAGCTGCTACAATCTACACATCTGTCAGATCACCACAGCTGCTACAATCTACACATCTGTCAGACCACCACAGCAGCTACAATCTACACATCTGCAGTCCGCCGATTGGTCAACAGAATTGTCACTTCCTGTGCGGTACTAAAGGTCAAACACAAAACGCGCCATGTTTTAATATCCTGCAGATTCAGAGAGAGAGAGTTATTTCAAGGCTGTTTTTGCGACTAATGTCAGCGTGTAGCTCCGCCCAATGGATGACCTCGGAGGTGCAAACCTTCCTAGGAATCATTGATCTTAGTTTACTGTGTCACGTTCTTCTTCTTTGTTGAATCTGTTGGCAATTATTCGCTGGATAAAATGAAGCCTTAAAAATGTATTTCTTATCTCAACAACTTTTTAAAACTCTGCAGCAAAGAGTGAAGATATGCAGAGTTACCAGAACACATGACCTATTTCGTTAGTCGCAGTTTTTCCGGAAACCATTAAACAATCAGAAAACATTTTATCAACCACAAAAGGATATTTAGACGTTGGAAGTGATTTCCTAATTTAAGTGGTTACTCAGTAGATAAGCAGGAGTCTGAAGTCTTGTTTGTTTCTCTCTCCGTGGTCGGGGAGGAGAAAGTGTTCCAGGATGTCCACTAATCCTCACAAGGAAACACGACAGCAGCTAATAAAGACGTCCTGCCATCCGCAGATACACACACTCCTTCCAGAAAACACACCCTGCGCCCGCCCGCCCCGATTGTTTTGGAAACGGGACACACACTGAGGCTGCAGGCGTGTGTGTGTGTGTGAGGGTGGGGCTCTGAGCATGGCAGCAGACAGTGTGCCTTTCATTTCCTACGACTATTTAAAGACGCTGTGCTAAGCCGCGCTCCAAATGTCAGAAACACAAACATGTGAGAGCGAGGCGAGAAGAAGCGGTGGTCTCTTACCTCGATGCTGAAGTACCCTCGGTCCACGTAGTCGCCCAGGAACAGGTAACGGGTGCTAGCCGGGGACCCGCCCACCTCGAAGAGCTTCATCAGGTCAAAGAACTGTCCGTGGACGTCTCCACAAACTAAAGAAAGAAAGAAGTTTCATGTTTGAAAAGATTCAGTAACTTCCTGAAACGGCTGCTCAACGGGAGATTGGATCAATCTGTTCTTCATAAAGTGATTTAAATGTTTGTTTTATGTTATTCATCGTTTTTCATCAAGATGTTTGTCTGCTTTCTTTTGTTTTGTCCTCCTTTACTGCGTCCTTCGCCCATGGTCAGCTCAGGTTGTTGTTTTAAACACACAGAGTTCCTTTTCACCTTATTCACTTTATTTTGAAGTAATCTGAAACCACTCTAAAGTGCTTGATGCAGCCTCTGGTCTGTGAGCTGATATATTAAGCAATCTGTACCATACCTGAGCACACTTCACCCCCAAAGTCCAGTTCATTTGACCAGTGTGAGTGCTCTGATTGGTGCTCAGGAGTGGTACACTTTCTCGGCCCTGGCACGCTTTGAAGAGGTGTGCTTTGACTCGGTCCAGTTCTTGCCCGAGAACAAGCACCGTGGACATCCCCTCCATTATTGAGCAAACGTAGCTGTAATGTTCTCTGACGTGCGCGGGAATGACACATTTAAACATCTCATTCTGACCGACCAACAGACACAAATCAGAGAAATATCTTTTTATCATTTCAGGAAACAGGGGAAATATTTAAATGTTAACATTTTAGAAGCTGGAGTTCTTGAATAAATTTGTAAAAATCACTTAGATCGGGGCGCTGGTAGCCTAGCGGTTAGTAGCAGCATGTCATTCCCCGATTTCTGAGTCCCCTGTTTACCTGCGAGTTTACCTGTGAGGTGAAGGTTTATCAGCTGTCGGGCGGACAGTAAAGAGACGCAGTTACCACGTTGTCTCAGCATGTGCATGGCGGTTAGCACTGGAGTTTTTGAATTAGACGCTTGTTTTGCAGAGAAGGGAGACCGTTTTTCCCCGATTGACTTTGTAATGTAACATTTAAAAAAACGTGCAACCAGCACTGGAGCACTGTGCAGCGCAATTCAAGGTGCATTTAACCGCCTGAGTGCAGAACAACGTCAGCTGCAGAAAAATATTTAAACAAAGTTGTAAGAAGCTTCTATTTTCATCGAGATGGTCAGCCTTAATCAGAGTATCAAGCGGATTTCCTGCTCTCTCTCTTAGGAAATATACCTGCACCTACCAGCGTGCTGAAGTATCATCTCTGTACGGGAAAAACTGCACTTAACTTGATGGTGGAGTTTAATCAACGGCCTTTAATCATAAGATTAAACGTTTTTATTTAGCTGCAGACAAAACGCCATCAGAGACAGAAACGGTTTTATTGCGTGTTCTCTCACAGGCTCTGTTGATTCTTGAAAGGAGGAAAACCTCTGGATAATTCAGCTCTCATTAAAACTTCCTACAAACACTGAAGGGTCATTTTCAGACTCCGTGTGTGAAGCTGATCTCCTGTTCCTGCATCACTCGCCATTTAATGACCCCGATAAGAAGGCAGAACTAAATGTGTCACCGCTGAGGACAAGAGTTTTTAGTGTTTAAAGTCGGAACTTTTTATAGTGGATACACGCAGGGGTCAACTCAACGATCCTTCTCTTGATTTAGCCTTCGGCCTATTAACTGTCAGATATTTTACGCCTGATGATTCGCACGATTAACCAGCAAACACGTTTAAAACAGTTCAATGTCCCGGAATCCAAAAACATTTAATTCACCATTAAAGTAGAAAATAAAACCAGCAGAGTTTTATTTTAGAAGCTGTAACTGGCGCTCGAACCTGCAGCTAAAGATTATTTTCTTTTGCAATAAATACGACAAATGACTTCCTGATTAAGAAGATGGTTTGGCCTTAAAGAGCCCATATTATGTTCATATATTTAATCTATGTACCTACTAAAGTATGTTCACAATAGCTAAAGTTCGAAAAAAGTGTCTGTTTTCATGTACTGCCGCTCCATGCACCGGCTCACTTCTGACTCTCTCTAAGGCTCTGAAGTTTGCTCTCCTCGTAGCTACAGTTCGGTAGAGCTTTGAGCCTATAGTGAAAGTTCAAACATGTCAGGTGGCGTGCTGTGTGTGATGGTGGTGGCTGCACTCGCAGTAATGACGATGCATGTGTCAGCATTTTATACCAGTATATTGGTCACACCAGTATATAGGACGCAGCTACCTTTCCAAAGAAAATGAAGGCATTAAAAGTGCGTCTTCTACACCAGAACGTTAAATATTTTAAAATGACTTTTCTGAAGATTTAAATCAGTTTTTGATCGATTGTTTATCTGGAGCTTTCGTTGGAGTCATGGACAAAAAAGGAAAAAAAAGGTAGAAAAATGAGCGAGCAAATCTTTGAAATGTCCATCACGAGTTTAAAAATAATCTCAGGAGACAAGGAAGATGAAAATATGAAAACAATGAGCGGGGAGGACGGAGCAGAAGGAGATAAAAATAGTCGGAGGGCACGAGGTGGATACCTAAGCTAAGCCACATGTCAGAGAGGGCAGCTGTAGAAATAGCCGGCCGTGCACACTCCGTCTTTGTCTCACTTTAACTCCCTCCATGTTCGCCCTGATGCCCTGAGCTGAAGGTGTCGATCTTTACCTGTGATGGGGGCCTCCACCTCCAGCATGCATTTCTCCTGGCGGAGGATGCTGGCTCCCTCGTTGATGATCCGCAGAGCCGCCTCCTCCTCCAGCCGACCCTCCTTCACCAGATGGGCCTTGAGCTGCTCCACGCTGGGCCTCCCGTCCACGTACAGGTCTTTGACCGTCAGGCGAGTACCGGGAGGATATGGCACCGCTACAAACATACACACAAGAACAATGACGTCAGAGCACACACTCAAAGATAACTCTGAAGACAGACGGGACGCTCTGGAGGTTTAGCACACTACACTCTGCAGATAACTGATCCTGGTTCAGTGAGTTTGGTCTTTGGACAAAACTACAAACGGTAAACAATAAATCAGGGCTGCAGCCAAAAGTTATTTTCATTATCACTTCATCTCAGTCTTCAAAAGTCTTGTTTCATTCGACCAGATGTCATCATGAAGAGAGACAAAAGGAAAAAAAAGAAAATCTGGGACACTGGAGAAACTGTACGCAGAGAATGTTAGTGTCTCAGTTTTCAATTTAAAGATTCTTCAAATTGTTTATAAATTATTAGACTCATTAAAAAACCCAGAAATTAACATAAAGATTCAGAACATAACAGAGCTCGGCTTTCTGCATGTTGAAAGTTGGTTATTAAGCTAAGAAAGACATCATGTTTAGCTCGTATTTTACAAGAACTTTTGCCTTTTTAAAGGAGCAGTATGTAACTCTGACACCTAGTGTTTAAAATGGGTACTGCAGTTTAAATTCTAAACATTGTAGCGAGCTGTCTTCCCCCACCCCCTCCTCTCTAGAGTCGATACTCACACCAGTTGCCATGTGGTGGACACTGTAGCTTCAGTGTTTAGCCAGCTCTGCATCGGTCTGTAAACCTTTCTGTGTTCTAACCTCTCCCCATTTTTCAAAAACATCTCCAATATTGATCCTAGTTTGAGCACGTTTCTGCTCGTGGAGCTTATTAAAAACATGCAGAGGCTTTTTAAGTCGGGTACAATCACTTCTATCTGAACCAGTTCTCTTGCCCGCTTCCATCACTGCAACACCTGTTGGTTTGACCTGATAACTGCTCTCATATCTGACAGACGTATTTACTTTGTGAGAGCATTATTAGAAACATGTCTTTTCTCGTTGAGTCTATAAACTGCTGAATGTTGGAAGATTCTCATTAGTGACAATAAGCTACCGTTACAGATCTTAAATGTTGTTGATTTCACTTTGTGCTGTCGGCTTCTCTGACATTTCAGGTACCAGTAAACTGATCGGGTTCATAATGGACTAAATGAATTGCAGTTAGTTGTTCTATAAACTTGATCTCACTCTCTCTCCTTCCTCCCTGTAGACTTGGATATGATGTAATAAATGTGTTTGTGAGACAGCTGGCATCAGTCCACTCCACATTGATTTCTCACTGATCTCTAACCCTACACGTCGTATCAGCAGGCGTCTGTGATGTTTCCTGAGCTCTGCTGAAGGAGACGTATTGTTGTTCGATTCTGCAGACGGATCAGTAACACAGATTCCTCCTGAAGGCGATGACGGCATGTCCAGGCTCGACCCGCACACAAAGGAAACAGTTTGGCAGCACAAGGCTGAGCCTGGAGGAAATACCAAACAGCTTAATGCCTGGAAAACACCTTCATCTCACAGGGAGGACGACTCTGAGTTAACTTCCTAAGATGAAGAAAAAAGCTGACTTCATTGTTTAAATCTACTCGTCTGTGGTGGATTGTTTGTACTCTGCAGGTTGGACAAACTACTGAAAGCAAAGCAGTAGTCTTCTGTATTTAATCCATGCACGCAGAGGTTTCTTTTGTTGTTCAAAAATGAGTAGTTAAAGGAAGAACGTGCAACATTATCCATATAAATATATCATGAATAAAGTCTATCCTGTGTAAATGTGTCTGAGTCATGACTGTCTACAATGAGTGAGAAGCTCGAGTCCCGCTGGCTGTGTTGTTGTCAGAGTCGTGTTTACATGGACCGGACGGCCGGCTCCTCCCCTTGTGTATAAAAGCTGTTTTAGTCAAGGACTAGAGAGAAGAAGAAGAACATACTCACTGATTATTTGGATGTTAGTAAGAGTTTTTAGATCACGCTCATTCTGTGTCAGTTTACATGCAATGTGTAGCTACGAGCTAACTAAAGAGCGCTAACATTAGCATGCTAACACAACAATGCAGGACACAGGTGATTGCAGCTTGAGCAAAGGAAATGTGGTCCGCAGCTTGGGCTGAACTCCTTCATGTGAACACGAGTGGAGTGGGGTTGGAGGTTTGTCTCTGGAGGAGAGCGGCAGCTTCAGTGTGGAGGAGGTGTGGCCAAACAGAAGTTTGTTTTGGTTTCATGATGGTGCTAAGGGCGACATCTAATGGATCAAAAGTCACACATTTTCCTTTACTATCGATCACAATCCTCAGCCTTTTTATTCAGAAGTGTCTCACTTTGCAATATTTTGAGCAAATCAGCCTGGACCACTTTCCCTTTCAATCGACAACAATCAGCCGAACAATCTGTAATCATTCATAAGTATTTACACAGGTTTGTGTGCAGCACGTACAGGGGGCAGGGCTTCCTCTCTCCATTTGGGACAACACGAGGGATCTCAAAGACGCAATCTGCAGTCGCTTCAAATGCAAATAAGACGCAACTTGATGAGCAAAACTAAACAAAAAATCTGTTTTTTGGGAATTTATTGCTTCAAACGAGAAGCACCCTGCAACTAGATGGACCTAAAAGAAGCAATGTGTCCTCTTTTCAAATGCATAATGGCTGCAAAAGATGAAGTACGCCTCCGCTTTGCAGCCTCCAAATGAATAAAGAGCTGGCGATGACATAATCTTTATGAACAGATTTCTGCAAATGAATGCAAAATTAGTTTGAACAATATTCTGGTTTCCACTTGTGGTCTGAGTAGTGTCGACGAGTCCTGCAGGAAAGTGGAGGCGACATCAGAGGGAAGGCAGCCTTGAAAAACATCCGACACCATTTCATTACCATTAAGCTAATTTTTTTGAGGTTTTAACAACCTTATATAATAAACAGACATTTGCATATAAATACAAAGTTCAAATCGAGCCATAGATGTCACCTGTCAGGTTGAGCTCCTCTCTCCCTACAGCCACTTTTCTAACAGTAGACGACGGCCTGTGCAGGGAGAGGAAGATGAGTTTAAAGACTGGGGATGACGTTTGCTGCCCCGTTTTGTAAACGCCTAAACAATATGTGCTGCAAAAACGGCTATGTAGATCACCCTCCAGTGATTATTCAGTTTTCCACTAATCGTGAAGTTTGAGCATTTAGTGATTTAAACTTTCAATGAGGCAGATTTGTAAATCAGGGATAAAACATGACAGAAACACCTCATAAAAATCTTACAACTATAAAGAGCTCAACAGAGACCGCCCACTTATCCGGCGGCTCTGGTTCCGGACGTTAATTTTCTCCGTTCAAATCCTCTACTGACGTTTCATAAAAATCCTTATATCAAGAGAGTCGAGAGAGCCTGTCACCATGACAACCAGCTACCGCAATACTCGTGACTATAAAACATTTGACTCTGTCAAAGACTGTGCATAATTTTTGTCAGGAGTCAATGAACTACAAGTCCCACAATCCATTGCGGATAATACCTCTTCTTCTTAAATGTAACTTGAGTCGTTAGCGTGTGTGTTATGACTGTAGCATAACAAGCTATTAGTACATTTACTCTTAGCTAACTAACCAGCTAGCTAAACAATCAGATTACATATGGTGACGAGGGCGGGAAACATTGCCACGGTAAAAGCGAGCTACACTAATCAGCGATGTTGTTGTGACACTATGATTGTGGTAGTGTAGTTCTTTTCCCCAATATCGTGAATAAACCGTGTTGTTCTTAAAACGAGGTTGATATCAGACGAACTTGTCATCTTCTCACACTCAGGTAGCTCGTGGTCAGTCTACCTGTGATGGTTATGACATCATGGCTCATGATCAAATCCTCTATGGAGAAAATGAACAAAATTTTTTACTTCCTGAAACTCACTGTTGAGCTCTATAACGTCTGATTGTGCAGCCTTTTTTTTTTTTTTTTTTAACTGAGTTTGGTAGGAACACTGGTAGCTCCACCCACATGATGGACAAAAGTTTTTCAATTTAATTTCCAACCACACAACATCAGAGGTGACTTTGTAGTCAAATCCCGTTCTGTGTTTGTTTGTGTTGTTTGTCGTTCTGTGTTTGTCTGCAGCAGCAGCTCTAATATTTACCACCCAGACTCGCTGCTCCTGCTGATGTTTGCAGGCCGACCATGCCGAGAGCAGAGAGCTGCAGAAACAGAAACACAGCAGCTGTCTGTTTCATACACGCCATGTTTTGCTTATATTTGACTAGCTGCAGGCACTGGGGCTACGGTGGCCTGCAGGGACAAAGTTGAAGAACAGGATGAGACCAAAGAGGTGTTAAATTAGTCTGAATGTTACAGGACACGCTCAGTGAATTATCTGCAATAAATCCATCATTTACTCTCTCCGTGTTTGAGTTTAGTGAAGTTAACGACAGCAGAAGTTGAACTCTGTGATGGCTCGGGTGTGCAGGTAAAGTGAAGAAGTGTTTCTCTGTTCCTCATTTCATCAGTGTCGTTGATTATTTGAATACCACTTCCTACCACGGTCTGCGTCTCGTCATTTCACAACTCTGGTTTTGTTTTCCTCCCTTCACTGCTTTTCTAACAATCGGTCAGATCATCTCGTCTGATCAGCTTTCAGCTCGTCAGGTTTCCTCCTCCGCCGCTGACAATCTGAGCTGGGGATGAACCAGTTCATGAGCGTGCACATGATTGGCTGAATGTGTGCGACCTGGTTTGGTTTTACTCGCTAAACTAGTCCACTAGGCCAGGACAGAGTGTGTATGAATATCTTCAGAAATACTTTCTCCACACTGATCCCACCTGAGAACAGTTACTACGGTGATACACCTTCATGTTTCACTATAAATACACACGTTAGTCACGATACCTCATCACATGTAGAGAGGACGTACAGAAATATGCTAACTCCATCTTTTAAACTGCACCTGTTTCTTTAAGTCTAAATTGCTCTTTTAAATCAAGATAGTATGATACATGTTAAGTTAAACCCAGCTGTGGCACAGACACAAAATCAATCTCTCTCATTGTTACTGATTTGTCATCTTGGGACACAGGGCTAGTGCCTGAGGCGGAGCTCCACCCTGG